TCATCTGGAGAGGCCCTGCTCTCGGTCCCACCGGCCTCGCAAGCGCCTGGTGGGGACGAGGGACAGGGCCTTCTCGGTGGTGGCCCCGCGACTCTGGAACTCTCTCCCTCTGGAGGCCAGAACCGCCCCATCCATCCTAACATTTAGGAAACGGGTGAAGACGTGGCTGTGGAGTCAGGCCTTCGAGGAATGAGACAACACCATAGGACCCTGGATGGAAGTGGATATAGATCCATCTTATTAGGACGACTGACCACTGTAGTTTTATATTTAGTGTTTTTAAAGTTGTTTTGTAATTTGTGATATATGATATTTTAATGAATGTATATGTTTTTATGGCTGTAAACCGGGCTGAGTCCCTCAACGAGGTTGAGAAGCTCGGTATACAAAACTGTGAAATAAATAAATAAATAAATTTTGTTTTAACACATTTTAATTGTATTTATTGTGTTTTAAACTGCATTTTACCCAGACACACAATACTATTTGCTTTCTTATTTTTGTATTGGCTTTGTTTAAAATTGATCAAAGTATGTGACTGTTAACCTCCTTGAGTCCCCTTGGGGAGAAAGATGGGGATATAAATAAAGTAAATAATAATAATAATAATAATAATAATTATTATTATTATTATTATTCCAGTTAACATTATTAAAAGAAATTCAAATAAAACTTACAATTAAAAAGTTTGTGCCTCAAGAACAGCAACAGGGAGCATGTTGGGAGATGAAGAGATTCCCTCCCCTGACGTCACTTCAGTGCTATCATGCCACCACAGAAGCAGAACAACCCCATTTCACCAGGTAGGTGACGGGAACGTGGCACAATCTGCAACTAGTGATGCATTTTCCCATCAAAGCAGGGGTTGGGTTTATTATGGGAATGAAGCAAATCGGCAACAAGATGTGTATGGTGTCATGCTTTTACACTGGTTTTCCTCCATTGTGCAATAAAGTCCTAGGACTCTGCAAACAGGAGTTCAAATCCCCATTCAGCTATAGAAACACACTGGGTGACCTTGAGCAAGTTACACTCTCCCATAGAATCATAGAGTTGGAAGAGACCTCGTGGGTCATCCAGTCCAACCCCTTGCCAAGACGCAGGAAAATCACATTCAAAGCATCCCCGACAGATGTCCATCCAGCCTCTGTTTAAAGGCCTCCATAGAAGGAGCCTCCACCACACTCTGGGGCAAAGAGTTCCACTGCTGAACAGCTCTCATAGTCAGGAAGTTCATTCAGGTGGAATCTCCTTTCTTGCAATTTGAAGCCATTGCTCCACGTCCTAGTCTCCAGGGCATCAGAAAACAAGCCTGCTCCCTCCTCCCTATGACTTCTCCTCACATGATACATGGCTATCAGAAGAAGGCAATGAACAAATCTTGACAAGGAAATTTTGTAATAGTTCACTTTAGGGTGCCCATAAATTGGAGATGATGTCAAGAAACATAAAACAGCAACATACTTCTAATGGCCTAGATTTTGTTCATGTCTGCATTTCCCCCCAGATTAGGTGTTTTCTCTCACGTGTATTTTCTTGCTTAGCTTCAGGGAAAAGGAAGGACATAGGTGTAAAAAATACGGCTTGGATATGATTTCATTTAGGTCTGCTAAAGAATTATTTTGATCCTTTTGATCCTTCTGTTTAATTTTCTTCTTTCCTTGTTTTCTTAAACTTTTAAGCTTCTTGAACCTTTGTATTCCCCGATAAGACTATTTCTTGACCTTCTCCTCTTTTCCGCTCAACATCACCTATGACTAATTTTCTTTCTTCAATACGAAATGAGCAAATAAACTTTTTCCCTGAAATCTAAAGGTAGTTTACTGAAAGGGGGCCAATGTGGTGTAGCAGTCTGAGCATTGGATGATGACTCTGGAGACCATGGTTCAAATCCCTGCTTGGCCATGGAAACCCACCAAGTGATCTTTGACAAGTCAAATTCTTTTGGCCTCATAGGAACCTCATGCTCCCAAGCAAACCAGGCCAAGAAAACCCTGAGATAGGGTTGCCATCAGTTGGGAAACATGTGAAGTACAGCAAATGTACTTAAAACTGACTCCTGTTCATTTATTCCAGAAGGATCATGGCTCAACTGAAGGAAATTCAACATATGTGTCTTGAGGGAAGCAGCCATATATTTAAGGGAAGAAAGGATGCTGGTGGATTCCTAACTATCCAATTCCTAGAAAAGGAGTCACAGGAGGACTGCAAGGACAAGGGAGATGGGTTGGTGGCAGTGGCTGCTTCCTTCCATGGTCCCACCATCAGGTACTCCAATTTTCCTTCTTCTCTTTGAGGCCCCACCAACACTGACCATTTAACGCAATGCAAAACTAACTTCAAATTGCAGTAGCTCAACAACAAACACCCACAAAAGTGTACATGAAGTTTAGATGGATTTTAATTTAATTTAATTTTAACGTTTAAGATGGATAGGGCTATGGAGCATTCATGCAACTCTTATGGTTTGTTTTAGCTAATGGTTTTCTGTTACATCAGTGGATCCCAACCTGTGGTCCATGGACCACCAGTGGTCCGCAATAATTAAAATATGGTTACTATTACTACACTGTTGCCTTGAAACCACACAGCAACGAGAGTGAACAGATGGTGACTACTGGATGGCATATGCTCTGTATCAGAAACTAGAGCTGATGTGGTCTGACCAATGCAATTTTCTGAATCAACACCCCAAATAACCAAATCAAATCTAAAGTTGACCAAAATGGATTCTTAACCCTTTTGGTACTAATGTTGGAGAGTGGTCGCTGGTCAAACTGGTCCCTGGTCAAAAAAAGGTTGAGAACCATTGTGTTACACTGTATAATTTAAATATGTTATGAGCTGCCTTGGGTCCATCAAGAGAAAGGTAGCATATAAATTCCTGAAAATATATAAATAAATAAATAAATAAATAAATGCAAAAGCAAGTCCTTGATGTGCACCGGCACTCTGTGATTGGTGTCATCGCCATCCCAAGCCTCAAGCGGATGCCAGGATTTTGTTTGCAATCACGCCTACACTGTGAAACCACTTTCTTCAAGCTAGGTTTGCATTAAACCAGTGGATCTCTGCCTGTGGGTTCCCAGGTGTTTTGGCCTACAACTTCTAGAAATCCCAGCCAGTTTACCAGCTGTTAGGATTTCTGGGAGTTGAAGGCCAAAACATCTGAGGACCCACAAATTGAGAAACAACTACATAAACAATCAGTCTGTGTTTGTGTGTGGGAGGGGTGCCTTAGAACATTCTCTTACCTTCACACTTACCATTGAATCCAGGGGTCCTACACTGTAGAACAGGCATAGGCAAACTTGAGCCCTACAGGTGTTTTGCACTGCACCTCCCACAATTCCTAACACCCTCAGGCCACTTCCTTTCCCCACTCAGCCACTTAAGCTCCATAGCCCCATCCATCTTAGGATGCTCCATAGCCCCATCATCTAAATCAGGCATGGGCAAACTTGGGCCCTCCAGGTGTTTTGGACTTAAACTCCCACAATTCCTAACAGATTTCAAACAATTCCTCACCTTCACACATACCATTGAATCCAGGTGTGTCCACACTGTAGAACAGGCATGGGCAAACTTGGGCCCTCCAGGTGTTTTGGACTTCAACTTCCTTTTTCCCCTCAGCCACTTAAGCTCCATAGCCCCATCCATCTAAGGATGCTCCATAGCCCCATCCATCCAAGGAAGTTCTATAGCCCCATTCATCTAAGGAAACTCCATAGCCCCATCCATCTAAGGATGCTCTACAGCAGGGGTCCTCAAACTTATTAAAGAGAGGGCCAGGCCACAGTCCCTCAAACTGTTGGAGAGCAGGATTATAATTTGAAAAAAAAACATGAATGAATTCCTATGCACACTGCACATATCCTATTTGTAGTACAAGAAACATTGAAAAACAATACAATAATTAAAATGAAGAACAATTTTAACTAATATAAACTTATTAGTATTTCAATGGGAAGTGTGGGCCTGCCTTTGGCTGATGAGACAGAATTGTTGTTGTTGTGTGCTTTCAAGCCATTTCAGACAGGCTGACCCTGAGCGAGGGCTGGGTAAACGACCTTGGAGGGCCGTATCTGGCCTCCGGGCCTTAGTTTGAGGACCCCTGCTCTATAGCCCCATCCATCTAAGGGTGCTCCATATCCCCATCCATCTAAATCGGGTATGGGCAAACTTGGTCCCTCCAGGTCTTTTGGACTTCAACTCCCACAATTCCTGACAGCCTCAGGCCCAGGCATGTAGCCCGGGGGGGGGGGGGGGCTTGAGGGGCTTCAGCCCCCCCCCCCCCAAATTCTCATGGTGGTTTACGAAAAGGCCTTACTGGTGCATTATTTAAACTGTTATGTTTATTCATATCATGATCTGATCACCATACTCATATCCCATATGCATGGGGGTATTGGGGTAATGATACAAAAGGTTTGCTAGGGTAGACCCTCTTTCACTCAGACGCCCCCCCCCCCCCCGAAATCGAAATCCTGGCTACGGGCCTGCTCAGGCCCCTTCCTTTTCTCCCTCTGGAGGAAACACCTGGAGAGCCCAAGTTTGCCCGTGCCTCCTGTAGCATCAATGCAGCTGGACTACTGCAGTGGTTCAGTGCTGTGGAATCCAGGGAGTTGTAGTTTGGTGAGGACTCTTGGGCAGAGGAGGCGCAAGACCTTGTCAAGCTAGAATTCCAGGGATTCCATGGCATTGGGTTTATGAGTGGTGCCAAAGGGCATCGGCTCTCAAAGGTGGATGCTGCCCTCCTGGCCTCCTTCCACCTCCTCCCAGGTGGAGACTGAGGAGGGGCTGAGGTCTGGAGAGCAGCGCCCTTCTCTCTCTCTCTCTCTCTCTCCCTCCGAACCGGGAGGCTTTGCTGGGGGAGGCGTCGGGGTGTGTTCCTTCCCAGTTGGGAAAGCCTCCGGGCGGCGGCCAGAGTCCTCCCTCCCTCCCTCCCTCCTTCCTTCCCTCGGCCCTTGCCCAGGTGAGGAGGCCGGTCGGACTTGGAGCCCGGCCAAAGGTAGAGGCTTTAAAAGGCGGACGCCTGCCCGCCTTGCCTCTCTTCTTCCTTGCCTTGGTCCTCCCTCCCCTAAGCCAGCCGAAGCGCCGCCGTCCAGGGGCCTCCCGATGGGTAGGTGGCAGGGATTTGGGAAGGAGGGCAGAGGAGGCTTCCAAAGAACCCTCTTTGGACCAAGCGCTCCTTTGGGGTGAAGGCGAGGGGCACGTTTTGGCCAAGGCGGGCTCCACTCCTCTTTCTGTGTGTGTGTTGTGTTTCTACTGGACGTCCAGCTCTAGCGTGGGGAGCCTCCTTTGGAAGCCAGGAGGAGACTGTCCCTGTGGTTGGGACTCTCCAGCGTCAACCAAGGCTATTGGATGGGGCTAGACTAGGATGTACACCTGGTGGGTTCGTGGGTCACAAAAAGGGAGGCATGCGGGGAAGGGAAACAGCCCCCCAAAGACACCGGTGCCCCCAGACTCAGGTTCAGAGCGGGGTCTACAGGGTGCCCTCCAAAAAGGCCCAGCTAAAAAGAGGGGCAAAGGAGGAGCAGCCATGCGCCTTCCCTGTCCTTTTAGGTGAAGGGCTTTCCCTTGCCAACTGCAGCCTGAACCCAATGGACTTTCCAGTTCTCTTCTTCCAGCTGAATGTTCCCAATGGAGCTGTTCTCTTCGTCCCCCAACATCTCCACTCAGAGAACAAACACATCTCTCTCTGCACATTCAAAGTTGGACTTATTTATGGTGACCCCATGAATTTCATAGAGCAAGGAAGACCAGAAGAGATTTAGCCAATCTCTTCCTCTGAAATGCATTGCTGGTCTCCCATCCAAGTCCCTCTCAGAGCTGATTTATCCTCAAAGGCAGGTGGGATCTTCCTCTGAAGTATGGCCTACATTACCTATTAGTGGTGGTGGTCTGCCATCCCAATCCCAGCTATAGCAGATCCTGCCTAGCTTGCAAAGTCAATGGGATCTTCCTCTGAAGTATAGCCTACATTATACTTGCTACATTTGCTTCAACCTGTGGCCTTCCAGATGTTTGTGCCTCCAGCTCCCAGAAGCCCTAGCCAGTGGTCAAGAATTCTGGGTACTGAAGTCCAAAACACCCAGAGGGCTGCAGATTGAGAGGGCCTACCCTACAGCATCTGGTATTTGTTGTTGGTCTCCATCCAAGTCCCAGCCAGAGCTAACCCTGCTTAGCTTCCAAGGTCAGATGGAATCTTCTTCTGAAGTATAGCCTACAGCACCTGTTCTTGTTGGTGGTCTCCCATCCATGCCTCATAGGGCATGGAGATTACACCTTATGAGGAGAAACTTACAGAGCTGGGTATGTTTAGCCTGCGGAAGAGAAGGTTGAGAGGAGACATGATAGCTATGTATAAATACGCAAAAGGGTGACACAAGGAAGAGGGAGAAGGCTTGTTTTCTGATGCCCTGAAAACAAGAACTTGGAACAATGGGTTCAAATTACAGGAAAGGAGATTCTACCTTAACATTAGGAAGAATTTCCTGATTGTAAGAGCTGTTCAGCAATGGAACTCTGCTTCAGAGTGAAGTGGAAGCTCCTTTCTTGGAGGCTTTTAAACAGAGGCCGGAGGGCCATCTGTCGGGGATGCTTTGATTGTGCTTTTTCTGCATGGTAGGGGGGTTGGATTAGATGGCCCATGTGGTCTCTTCCAACTCAATTATTCTATGATTCTATTATTTGAATTCCTAGCCACAGTTGATCCTGTCCAGCTTCTGAGGTCAGATGGGATCAGCTGCCTTTAGGGGAATTTAGGTCCTAGCTCTGCTCATAGTACTGCTGAGAGAAGCTGTTATAATATGTGTATCTTCATGTTGCCTGTTGACGTATAGCGATCCCAGTATTCTTATAGGATTTTTTAAGGGAAGGAATACTCAGAAGGGATTTTACCAGTTCTGTCCTCTGAAGTATAGCCTGCAGTAACTGGTTGCCTGTTATATAGCTGGGCTCCAGTTTTCTGCTGCCCAAGTGGCTGTAAGAGAGGTGCAGGGCAGGGAGAAGCTGTCCGGGGCAGCATTCCCTTCTGTCCTGGGTAAACATCTGACCACTGGGCAAGTGACATGAGAGGAAGAGAGAGAATTGAGGTGAGCACTATGTTCTTTGTGTGACCATTTAATTTTCTTGCCAAAAATAACCAAAAGGCTAGAGGCACATCCAAACATAATGGCATGAGCTTTCCAGGAAATTCAGGGTGTTTTGTTCTTGAGGTGGAGAATAAGTGGCCACCCTCGTCCCCATTCCATGGAGCAGCCTCACTTCAGGGTTAGACAGGGCTCTCCTTTGCAATTGAATACAATGGACTAATTCAGGAATCCCAGGACAAAGTGTCATTGCTGCTGGACAGCATCTGCCACCTGAGGCCAACCCACCCCTTCCTTAATGGTAAGGAACTGGTCTGATGAAATAGTCCAGGGAACATTGTGTCATTGTAATAAAGCTGCCACAAGCTACCACAAACTACTTTGTTATGTTTGCTGCTCACTCAGTCATGTTATTAGAAATGATTCTTGGATAAACACAAGATTCCAGCCCCGATTTTCATACAATCCCAAATGGATCAACTAAAATCCCTCCCATTCTCAGTCTCCCTTTTATATATACACATATTATATAGCGTATAAAGAAATATAGAAAGTGGCTGTGTTCCATCATCTTGATTAGGTCAGTACCAGGCGTGCATGTAGAAGTTATACAGGTAAATAAAAATATGAGTCAATAAGAGTAAGTTTATTTTCTTTGTGTCTATATTTTCAGTTTCTCTATGTAAGCTTATTTATTTATTTATGACATTTATATGTCACCAGTCTCACCCTGAAGGGGACACAAAGCAGCTTACAAGTTATATGTACATACAATATATTATTAGCATAGCACAATATTAGTATTCTATATTCCTATATTGTACTATACCACTATACTGCAATATTATTAGTAATATTATTTCTAATACATAATATACAATTATTATATTGTATTAATATTAGTATTATATTGTATTACAAGCTCAAAAGCTTAATAAATCTTCATACTGATTTTTGACTGGAAACTGTCCCATCTAGACATAGGACAAATTCATAAATAACCTTAAATAAACTGCAGTGTTTGAATGCTAAGATCTTGCTTTGATATACCATCTCAACATGTATGGTGTTATCATCTTCTTCTCCTGTCAAGGATCCTAAGTCTTTGGCAGTTGCATAATATGTTAAACTAGTAACATTTGTATGAAGAACTTATTTTCCAATTGTATATATGGGGAGTTGTATCTGTTGAGTTTTTGACTGCCACAAAAACCTGCCAGGAAATAAAAGGTTTACTTGTGTGGTAAGTAGAGTTGCCAGGTCCTCTGTAGCTGCCCCTTTAACAGAAAATAACTTTTAATTCCATGTGTAAAGGTAACAATTTCCTCTTGACATTAAGTCTAGTCATGTCTGACTCTGGGTGATGGTGCTCATCTCCATTTCTAAGCCAAAGAGCCGGCTTTGTCAATAGACTCCTCCAAGGTCAGTTAGCCATGGAGCACCATTACATTCCTGCCAAATTGGTATCTATTGATCTACTCACATTTGCATGTTTTTGAACTGCTAGGTTGGTAGAAGCTGGGGCTAACAATGGGAGCTCACCCCGCTCCTAGTATTCAAACTGTGAACCTTTTGGTCAGCAAGTTCAGCAGCTCAGCAGTTTAACCCGCTGCGTCACCGGGGGCTCCTTAATTCCATGGACATCATTAATTTTACCTATTGATTTTTGACATCAAGCATCTGATAAAAGCATATACACACAGAGAGAAACATTAAACCATATTATTACTAAGTTATTCCTACAAGTTGCATGCTTCTAGAATCCCCTTAATATGACTGCAATGTTTCAGGCTTGTAGTTGTTGCCTTGAAACTGTTGCTGTCACAAATGATGAGGAAAGGACTAGGAAATAATTATCTATTACTATAGATTGGATTATACATGGCAGGAAAATGCATGATCAAATCAAACTTTTGAATTCCACTTAATGCAAAATGTTAGCGGGGAAAGGATGAGCCATAAGAATGAAGAAATGCTTCTAGATGGACAGCTCCCTGTGGCACCAGTGACTGCGAAACGGTAGCATCGTTGTGAGTGTGTGCGTGCGTGCTTTAAAGTCGCTTGTCAACTAATGGAGAGCCCATGAACTTCTCCGAGTTTTCTTTGGCAAGGAATGCTCGAGGTGGTTTTGTCAGTTCCATCATAATTATTCCCATCCTAATGGGTTTCCTGTAGCAAGAAAAAGGAGGGCCACGTGGCAGAGTGATAAATGCAAGGCCGTTGTCTAAATCCTCTGTAAAAATTCATTAGTGAGGCTTGGTAATTGAAAAATAAAAGGCTCACCTGTAAGCACTGTAGGTAAACCTAAGCTTTCAGTTTAAATCATTTTAATACAGATTGACTGTAATGTGTGTAAGTTTTTTTTTTTTAGTTTTCTGGCTATTATAAACCTTTGTATAAAGCAAAGTTCAAAATCCTGCATACATCTTATTTTAAAGCAATATATGCACATCATCAGTGGACATCTGCTTCTCCCCCAGCTTTTCCTTGAGAGATTTGAAAGGTATGGAGATGTGCAGAGTCTCCATTAGTTGTCTACACTAGTCTTTAAGAGTATATCCTAATGTAGCTTTTCATCTTACAGTGTGTGAGTTGGTCAAAACAATTTGTGGGATGACTTGTGTGTGCCTCAAAATGTAGTTTCTGTTTGCACCATTCTGTTTGCACAGAATTTCTATATCTCTATTATGTAAGGTTGGGGTTCAAGCTTATCAAGAAAGTAGCATCCCCAAAAAGATTCCAGATCATTGTTAGTAGTCAGTCATAATCCAAACTCTGGTCTTGTGTAACGTGTTTATACACATCACAGCTGGGTCGGGTTATTTTCGGGGCTAAAAATGCCTGATCTGGCATGACTGCTGGGGATAATGGAAATGCAAGTCTGAAAGATTTCTGATCTCTAGCTTGTTCAATTTTTTAAAAAGTGAATGTTAATTTTTGAAATTAGTATCTGTGGTTTCATTTATCCATGTCAAACAAAATATATAATGTCTATGCATTTTCTAGGTCTTCCAGCATGGTCCCTATA